TCACTGCATGAGGCAGTTGGTAGGTGAGGTATACCTGTAATTGCACTTTCTTCCCCAAAATTATTTGTCTCCATATATTTTTTATATATTAGAGCTTATACTCCAACAGAAAAGAGTGAGTGCTCAGAATTCACACTGCCTTTTTTATTGAATAGATCCATTGCAATCAGGTTTTTGGCTAGGATCTAGTTCTGACATTGTTTTCATCACCTTGCTGGGTGAGCAACGTAAGACATTGGGGGGAAAAGTGAGGACCTCCCAATTCCTCTATACCTCAATACCATCAACCATGGCCTTCTTCTGGGCCATTGGCAGGACTAAACATGGAAGGGTGGCACTGTTTTACAATGGTTCCTGTCTTTCCTATCAAACTGTGTCCAGAAGATGGTGCTAGCCAATTATAACTGGATACCAAGGTTATTGATTTGTGGTGCCAACACTGGGAGAAGTCATCCAGAGTTCTGTACTAGCTGAAGACCCCAATTCTATAGCTCCTTACCACCCAATTCCAAGGAAGTTGTCGATACCCTTATCCATTGCACACATATTTCAATTTAGCAATTTATTTAAAAATAGCCTCTGCTAATGGAATATGCTATAGCTTCAAAACATTCTATGAAAGAATATATATATATATCCTCAATATGCAGTGGCCATATTTTCTACATTAGAAAGGACTCTCAAAGGACAATCTGCTGTTTTGTGTGATAGACTTAACTGGTCTGAGTCACCTTTTAAAGATGCAAAACTACTGGAAGAGAGAACATTCAGTGTTCCCATCAGTAGTTAGCATCTGGGAGAGGCATGCAGTTACTGATCATAATACAGGTAGTCCTCACTTACCAACCACTTGTTCAGCAACCGCTGAAAGTTGTGATGGCGATGAATGAGTAGTACTTGTGACCAGTCCTCGAAGTTCCAGCCATTGCAGCATCCCTGTGGTCCCCAGCCCTTACCTGGACTCCCACTGTTTCTCGCTTAACGACCCGCGCGTCTTGGGGTTATGATAGCAACCAGGACTGTCAGGATTGTTGCTAAACAATGAGATCATGTAGCAAATAATTGGATAAGAAACTGAAACAAACCTAAATCATTGATTTTACTGTGTTGGAACTGGAACATAGGTTTGCCTAGGGAAAAACCCCACAATTTCAGAGACTCTAAAGAACTTCATAGACCATACATTCATTTACTTATTTATTCATTCAGTGGACTTCCACTCTTCCACAGTCTTCCACAGTCTCTCAGTGGCTTACAAATTAAATAAAGCAAAAATTAAAACACCCACAGACAAAACCATTTGCAGTAACAACAGCAACAACAACAAAAACATAATAACCCCAAAACAAAAACCATGAAAAACAAATTATAAAAATAAGGGAAGAAGAAAACACAAAAACAAGATGGCACGAAGTAGAAATCTAAGAAAAGGCCTTCTGAAATATTTTTAACACCTGAAAAGCCAGCAAGGAAGAAGCCAGCCTGTTCTCTGCTGGGAGGCTCTTCCAAAGCACCGACATTGCTGCCACTGTTTTAGTGAGTCCTTGCTTACATTTAAATGCAGATCAATAAAACGATTGCTCAAATCAAGCACTAAATGATGCCAAAGTGCTCATTAGACTAATAATGTAGGATTTAAATATTGAACGATTAAAAAAAGCAAAACTATCTTGAAAGAAGAGTGAGGAAAGAAGGATGGCTGCTGCAAAACAGGACCAAGAAAAGGGTTGAATTGTGTAGGGATGATCTGAGTACTATTGGTGGGAATAAATAAAATAATTGGGAAAAGAGGTAGTGGTCAGAATGTCACATTTTGATAATATATTTCTGATTTCGGTAATTTCTCATTTTTCATCTTAGTTCCATGTTCTGCAAGCAAGGAATATTTGCCTTTACAAAATGGTATGTGATAAAGACAGTGATCTCTTGAATCAAGACTCTGTGAAGACATGTTTTAGTATCTTAGCTGTACTGCAACTCATCATGCAGATGACTTTGCCCCATGAACATTTATGTTGGATTGTCTACAATGGTATGCACTTTTTAAAAATACAAATGCAGTTTTAAATAGTGTCTTATGCCCCATATTGGGCAATCTCTTAAAATTATGAAGAAGTTTCCATTTTGAGAGTTTTTAAAAAAATAGTTAAATAATCTGATGAAGGATTTCATATTTCTCTTTAAATTTAATAAATTGTTCCATGTTAGCCATCATATTTTTAATGTAGATGGAAATGTAATGGGATACTTTTAAAAAAAATAAATTAACGCTAGTATGTAAAATATGTAAACCTGAGAGGATAGTTCTTATTTTTGGGTTCCTAAGTTTAGGAAACAAATTCATAAAACTATTTACTATTGAGGTATTTTAAGAAGATTATACATTATATAGCATCAAGGATTTTATTATTTATAAGTTTTGTCTACATTGTTCACATAGATCTTTCAACTGTAGAAATGATACTGTTGGGATGTAAAAACATTGCAAAATTTTAATTGAATACTGTTGGTTCATTAATAAACATGAGGTAGAGTAGAGGTAAGGATAGTTTCTAATTTATTCACAAAATTCATAATAAATATAATAAATAACTACTCATTTGCATGGATTTGCATGGTGTGTATATTTTAAAAATATTTTTTCTTATAGGCACAGTACATATGTATACCATATGTAGGCATTTGATGACTATAGGCCAATCTGCTAAGGTATGTAAAATAAAGTATAAGCATTTATCTGTCTGCTAGTTTTTTGTCAAAATGTTTTTTGTCAAAAAGCAAACAAAATGCTTTGTTAAAACTACTGTTTATTTTGTGTTGGGTAATGTTTAAGCTTTTATTTGCATTACAAATATGTATTATTAAAATGCATTCCTTAAACAATAATAAGGCATCAAAATTTATTTTTCTAATAGGACACTTCTAACCCACACATCTATAGAGGTAATTAGGAAGAGAGAGATGTGTTTCTTCCAGGAGAGAGAAGCTTCACTTGTTAAAAAAAAGGGGGGGGGCTTTGGCAGGGACCAGGTTTGGAGACAGGTGAGAAAATTGGAGCTCTCTCTTCAAAGTGGCTGTCCTGTCATTTTAATGTATGAACTATTAAATATCTACGCTATCTTTGTATTTAAATATACATTATCTGAACTTAGAGGAAAGATGCAAAAGGGTCCTGTGGATCATTGGATTGCTCTTTAATGTGCTAAATGACTTGTGACCAAGATGATGCTGTTTTCTGTTATAATATGCTTGTTCTTTGCGATTGTTGGGAGAGTTCATGCTTCATGCTGGGAGAAAGCATTTATATTATCAACAAGGCTGTGGAACAACCTGACTCAGAATATTTTATCTTGCCCCTCTTGATTTGTGTTTATATATTGAACAAAAAGGCCTTGTTTGGCCTATGGATCCCCTTTTCTTTAACAACAATGATCTGTTTTCCTTTTTTTTGTGCTGACTAGACCATATAGGTCTGGTAGCTCTGGGGAGTTTCAAAAGCAAATCATGAAGTTTAAATAAAATAAGAGAATAAAACTTGCTTTAAGAGTGTGAGAACTAGGATGAGTTCAGAACTATAAAGATGTGATCCTGGAATATTTATAAAATATACTGTATATACAGTCTTGCATATATTTTGCTAATATTTTGCATTTTCATATGTTTTCAAAATAAACAGTATATGAATATATAATGCAGCTACAGGTAGTCCTTGAGTTACAATCATTCGTTCAGCAATCGTTTGAAGTTATGATGATGCTGAACGAAGGGCACTTATGACTGGTCCTCAAAGTTCTGGCTGTTATAGTGCCCCGTGGTCACATGAACAAAATTCAGGTGGCTGGCAACCAGCTCATACTTATGACCAGTTGCAGTGTTCCATGGACATGTAATTGCCATTTGTGACCTTCCCTGCCAGCTTTCCCCAAGCAAAATCAATGGGAAGCTGGCAAGGAAAGTTGCAAGTCGCTGGGGTAAGTCTCTCCCCCACCTTTCCTCACTTGCACTCACCATGCCTTCCTTCCCCCTTTGCTCACACATACCCCGCTCCCTCTCTCCCTGGCCTCCTTGTGCTTGCACACTTGTATGCATGTACCCCGCCCCCTCTCCACGGCCTCCCTGCACCCCTTCTCCACAGCCTCCCTGCAGTTGCACACACACACGCACATACCCCATGCCCTTTTTCCACAGCCTCCCTGCAATTGCATGCACCCAACACCCTCTTTCCTTGGCCTCCCTGTGATCACACACACGTGCATGTACCCCGCACCCTCTTTCCATGGCCTCGCTGCAGTCATGTGTGCGCGCGCACACACCCTGTGCCCTCTTTCCATAGCCTCTCTGTGATTGCATGCCCTTTTTCCATAGTCCCTTTTTCCACAGCCTCCCTGCAATCCCATGCACCCAACACCCTCTTTCCTTGGCCTCCCTGTGATCACACACACACACACACACACACACGTATCCCGCACCCTCTTCCCACGGGTTTTCTGAGCTTTCTGAGCTTGCACCGCACTGAACATTCCCTCCTCCATTTGCGTGTGGCCTGTGCTGGGCCTCCCAGGACTTTCCCACCCTCACCCCCTTTCAGCATCCCTGTGGTCCTTACCTGGGACTCCCTCTGCTTCCCACTTAATGACCCATGCGTCTTGGGTTATGGTGACAACTGGGCTGCCTGGATTGCCATTGCTAAGCGATGTGGTCATGTGACATTGCACTTTACGACTGTATCCCTTAGCAACGGCAATCCCAGTCCCAATTGCACTCTAATTTGAGGACTCCCTGTGTTTGCAGCATAAAAATTACATGGGTTGGTGATATAGATGAGTTTATTAGCTTAAACTCTAGTGCCGTCTAGTGGCTATTTTTCACTGATGTTTTCCTTTAACTTGCAAAGAGTTAAAGATACTGTAGTCTCCATTACTATGCAGAATAATTTAAAACAAGGAAGATTAATTGCAGAAACATAAGCCAAAACAATAAATTTTCATCATAAAAGAAATATTAACAGTTCCCTTTCAATACCTAAATTTTAACCTGCCTTTGGGGGCCAGGCAATTGCTCTTTACAAACTTGATACATTTTTCTCTTTTTAGCATCTAAATTTGTACATGGAGATTAAATTAACTTTCTTCAAATTATATTTTAAAGCTAGCAGAATTAGTATTTTTCTCTGTTCAATCTCTGTTCCCCATAATATCATTATTTCATGAAAAGCATGACCATTTAATAATGTTTAATATATATGTGTGTGTGTGCCTTCGAGTCAGTGTTGACTCCTGGTGACTGCCTGGACAAGTTTCTGCAGTTTTCTTGGCCAGGCAGGACAATTTTATTTGCCATGACTATATTATCATTATACAGTGGTACCTCGGTTCACGAACTTAATTCGTTCTGCGATTCTGGTCGCGACCTGAATTGGTTGCGACCCGAATCAAATTTTCCCATAAGGTTCAATGTAATTACGGTTAATCCGTTCTGAACCATACGTATTTTTTTTT